TATTCTGTATTTTGAAAATGTATATTCTGTATTTTGATTATTTTACCTATGCATTTGGTTTTTCATCTAAGTGTACTGCAATTATAAATTCCAAATATTTATTGTTCCTTAAAAGCTCTTATACTTCAAAGACAAAGATAAAACTCCCTAAGGCTTCTACACACACACACACACACACACACACACACACACACACAAAAGACTTTAAAAACTCACATAAACAAAAGGAAAGATGAGAAACAGAATGTTCTAGAACAACATTCAAAGTAAGGCCCTTGGAGCTGGAGAGATGGCCCAGCATTCTAAGGTTCTGCTTGGCAGTGCAGGGACCCAGGTTTGATCTTCCTCAAGGCATGCTGTGCTGATCTAAAAACTGGGTGTGGTGGTGTGCCCCTGTAACATGAGCACAGAGAAGGCTGGGACAGGAGGATCACTAGGAGTAGGAACATGTAGTGAGACCCTGTATCAAATAAGTAACATTTAAAAATATTTTTTAAAATATTAAAATTAAGGCAATAATGGAGCAACATTTTTAAAGAGACAGAAAATTCAGTGGAAAAAAAATTAGAATCAAGGATCCTACATACAGAATTGACCCTGCAAACATCACTTGCTCTCTGGGATTATAAGGTTTTTTTGTTTGGTTTTGTTGTTCGCATTATTGGTGCTGGGCTCCAATCTTTTTCGTGAGAAGGAAGCTGTCTGCCACTGGGCCATACCAGAAACTCTTTGGAATTCTATTCTATTTTATTATCTTGCTTCAGAGATTTTGGTAAAATGAAACATTATTTTTCCACTTTTACTACTTGTTTTCTGGTCCTTTCATTTTTGTTTATTGTTTATTTTTCTGCCTTTCTTCACTGTCTCTTATCAAATTAACATCAAGTCTGCTCTCTGGACCCCGCACAATGTATTATTCATTTATGACATAATTATGGTTTTATTTCATCCATGTTCTTTCCTAAATTAACTTTCCTTTATTTCTTCCTGTTCTTGTATATTTTTGTTATTTTAGAAAGCCTTCCTCAAAGAGGTTTTCCCTATGGTATCTACTTGCTTGAGTATACCTGATTCTGTTAATTTACAGGTTTTTTATAATCTTATTTTTGCTCTGAAAATAATGTTGCTCAGGTTATATCTATATCTATATCTATATCTATATCTATATCTATATCTATATAACAAAGGTAGGGGTAGGCACGGGGGAAATTTTGGGCTTCTATTGTTATGCAAATGACTCTATTTGTTTATATATATGAAATTTGCTTGTTGATTTTCTGCAATAATTGTATAGATTTTACTGTTCAATTGTCCATGTTCATGGTATTTCATCACTGTATATGATTCTTAAACAATGACTTTATTCTGAATGAAGCAAAACTCAGATATTTTTTGCCTTTCTGTTAGTTTTTGTTGTTCAAATAGGAAATTTTGTTTCCATTTTATGATCACCATTTTTGATTTTCTCATTTCGTTCTTTATTAGCTGTTGAACAAGTTTTTCCTCTTCTTTTTGTCTTTTTTTCTCTGCCACAATCTATGGCATACTTAATTTAAACTTTCTTCTAAAAATACATCAATACTTTAAATTTCACTGCTGTATTAAACTTAGCCTGTCCTCATTAATTAAAAAAATCTTTTTATTCATACTATTTTAAATGATAAACATAATTATATTGCATTTATAGGGTAAACTATGACATTTCAACATAAATATACAACATGCACTGATTAAATGCATGCATTTTAAAATTCCTTGCAGTAATCTACACTCAGATGCCCACAGATACTTTTCAGATTTGGTGTAATTTTTGTTTCTCATATAGTCAAAAATCAGTTTAGGCCCCTTAACATCTCTCTTTCTCCAGAGCTGATCATTACATTGGTGGCAAACAGAGACCTTAAACTCAAAAGTCCTATTTTCTTCTTTACATCAGAGTGATTTTGAAGGTTATGCATAATGTTATTTTCAAGTTATACTGAGTATGATTTTATGTTGGTTATGTTGTTTTGTTATGTTTGTATTCATATAAGAAGGTATATAGCTAGACTACTATTGTCTTCAACTATTTGAGTACATGAGTTCTCTCTACATTAAATTTTCATTATTTCACCACTCCTGTCCTGTCCTCTTATTATAATTCTAATTTTTTTATTATACAGGGCATTTTATGAGCTTTTACTAATAGAAATTAGCAGCTACCTTGAAAGTCTTGAGATACATAAATTTGTAACTTCAAACTAGTTCCTTCCTAGCATGGCCAATTTCTTTTATATTAGAGGTCTATACTTCTATGGTATATTAATGACATTTTAAGCTTTGAAAAATAATATATTGGAGCTCACTTGATACTTATGCAAACCCTATGAGAAGTTAAGGTCTTTCTAGTACAGATAAACAACAACAAAGTATCCATAACAACCTGATATTTGAAATGTTCAAGTATTCGTCAAGGTTTTTTCCCAATAACATACAATAATGTCAAGATTTCAGCATCATATATATGACCAAAAATAGTAAAATTAAATAAAAGCATGACTAATATCTATTTTTTCAAAACCAGCGATTGAACTCAGGCTCTTGCGCTTGCCAGGCAAGTGCTTATTCTATTGAGCTATCTCCCCAGCCCCCTAAACGTTTTTTTTCATGACCAATATCTTAACACACTTTAAGAGTAGAAACATTTCTAGAAACTGAGTTGCCATGGAATTTATGCTTTATTGTAAGATTTAGTTGATTTGTATGTAACATTTAGCAAACCTTGCTTCAGAAATGGTTTTAGTTGTAGAGTCACCTCTTGCTAAGTTATCCTATGTCAAGGCACTTTCTTTGGTGAAATAAGTAATTTCAATTTGAAATTAATCTGTTGGGATGGATCAAATGAAATAAAATATTTAATATACCCCAGATTGTTGAAGATGAGCCATTGTTTCATTGTCTAATGAAATTTCTCAGAAATAACCAATTCATTTTCAGAGATTACATGGGAAGCAACACATTGGTTAATTTCAGTCTTCCATGTCTTTAGAGCTAACAAAATAAGGAAGATATTCAGCACAGCATGACCCAAATGAAAAGTTTGAATTAGTTTAAAGCAGTTGAATTTTAGAGATTAAAAGAATAGTGAAATACGTCTCACTTGTCCTAGCTAACATCATCCTCTTCTTGTTTCAGAACAAGAGGCAAAATTGTTCAGCAAAACTTCAGGATAGCGAAGATAGCTGTACTACTAATTTCTATTGGTTTATTGAAAGGAACAGTTAATGCTTAATTGTTTCGTCAATTTCACACGTGTATAGCTAGCAATCTGAACAACTCCTTTGAAGATAGCAGTATGCAGTATAACAGCCATTGTTAATTTTATGTCATGTTGTTGTGAAATTCTGTTTCATTTTTATTGTATTTTTTAGTCTCTTTAAAATAAACAAAAACCTTCAGGAAACAA